ATTGGCCGGTTCTGCCCCTCTGCACTTTGGGGTGCCCCTGCTTTGGGGGAAACGCTTCCATCCAGAGCCTCAGGCTCTCCCAGGCCCTGGGAACGCCACCAGAGGGGCTGGGGGTGCAGGCTGAGGGGCTGGGGCTGTGTCCCCCCAACATCTGCCTGAAATGGAGCCCAGTTACGGGAACTGTGGGGTGGGGGCTCATGAGGCACTCCCGGCCCCTCCTGTGGGGAATTTGGGGCAGTTCGGAGCTGTCACAGGCATCTCCCCCAGCAGGGGTGGCAGTGGGAGGGCCGGGGGACACGGGCCAGGTCCCTGCCCAATGTCCCCACAGACACCCAGCCCTGGGAGCCAGGAGGGTGTTTGGGAGCAGGGGGGGATTTCCCTCTGCGGGTTTGGCTTTGTGCTTCCAGAGGCCAGGACCTGGCTGGAAAATACATCCTTGTCGTTTCCCTGCCTTTCCATGTGGTTATTTCCCCCTTTTCTCAACCCTGCTCCGTGTTTGCCCCTGAGACGGGGGCCGGACCCCACTGGGGCTCCCCCAGCTGAGGGGCAGCAGCTCCTGCTCCCCCTGGCACGAACACCCTGTGCTCCTGGTTCCTGATACCCCCATTCCATGATCCCGACCACTGATATTCCCACTCTGTGCTCCTGGTTCCTGATATCCCCATTCCATGATCCCAACCACTGATATTCCCACCCTGTGCTCCTGGTTCCTGATATTCCCATCCTGGCCCCCAGTATTCCCATCCCACGATCCTCATTCCTGATATTCCCACTCCATCATGCCGGTTCCTGACTTTGCCATTCCATGATCCTGGTTCTCAATATTCCCACTCCCTGATCCCCAAGGGCCCCTTCCTTCCCCCTTCCAGGATCTTCTCTGCTTTTTGCACCTTTCGCAGCCTCTCGGGGCTGGGTTATCCCAAAATCCCTCCCAAGGGGTCGGGATCGAGGGCAGGGATCAGGGCTGGGGTGGACATCCGGGCCTGTCCGGGGCTGGTGGCACTGGGGACCCCCCTGTCCCCATTCCCGGCCACCATGGGAACTCTGGTCCCTCAGCCGAGGGCTCTGGGGTGCTGATCCCATTGGGATGGGTGTCCCCAAGGTGCTGATCCCACGGGAGGGGTGTCCCCAAGGTACTGATCCCATGGGATGGGTGTCCCCAAGGTGCTGATCCCACGGGATGGGTGTCCCCAGCTGTCCCCAAGGTACTGATCCCATGGGATGGGTGTCCCCAAGGTGCTGATCCCAGAGCATGGGTGTCCCCAGCTGTCCCCAGGGTGCTGATCCCAGAGCATGGGTGTCCCCAGCTGTCCCCACAGGGCTGTGGAGCCCAGGGCTGGGATCCATGGCCAGCCCGTGGTGGGTGATGCTCCCAGTGGGATTTTCCCGGAGGATGAAGCTCACTGAGGATTTAGGGAAGGGGGTGGCTTTGGGCAGCGGTGTCACCTCCCTGTGCCCATCAGGACATCCCAGGGCGATGGGGACAGACCCCCACGGGGGCGGTGCTGTCCCGTTTGTGGGACCCTCCCGGAGCCCCGGCTGCCCCCGTGACTCCGGGTGAGCGGAGGCCAGGCCGGGCCCGGCTCCAGGGCTGGGGCTGCCGGGCCGGGCCGGGCCGTGGGCGGGCGCTGCCCCCGCTCCCGGGGCTGGCACCGGGTGACGCAAGGGCCGCAGGTGTCGCAACGGGGCAGGAGCCGAGTGCGCGCTGGGAGGGCTCTGCTGGGCCCGGGGGGACAGCGGGGGACAGCGGGGCACTGCCACCCCCGGCTCTGCCATCCCCGGCACTGCCACCCCCGGCTCTGCCATCCCCGGCACTGCCACCCCCGGCACGGTCACACTGGGCACTGTCACCCCCGGCACTGCCACCTCTGTCACTGTCACACCTGGCACTGCCACCCCCAGCACTGTCACCCCGGCACTGCCACCCCAGCACTGCCACCTCTGTCACTGTCACACCTGGCACTGCCACCCCCGGCACTGCCACCCCTGTCACTGTCACACCTGGCAATGCCACCCCTGGGACCCACAGAAGCCTGGCCCTGCCATGCCGGGTTTGTCCTGGATCCCCCCAGGTTTGTCCCTGTTCCCCCCAGGTCTGTCCCGAGCATTCCCAGGTCTGTCCCAGGTCCCCCCAGGTTTGTCCCGGTTCCCCCCAGGTCTGTCCCGGTTCCCCCCAGGTTTGTCCTGGATCCCCCCAGGTCTGTCCCAGCTCCCCCCAGGTCTGTCCTGAGCATTCCCAGGTTTGTCCTGGGTGTTCCCAGGTTTGTCCCGAGCATTCCCAGGTCTGTCCCAGGTCCCCCCATGTTTGTCCCGGTTCCCCCCAGGTTTGTCCCGGGCATTCCCAGGTTTGTCCCGGATCCCCCCAGGTCTGTCCCGGATCCCCCCAGGTCTGTCCCAGGTGTTCCCAGGTCTGTCCCGGTTCCCCCCAGGTCTGTCCCAGGTCCCCCCAGGTTTGTCCCGGATCCCCCCAGGTTTGTCCTGGATCCCCCCAGGTCTGTCCTGGTTCCCCCCAGGTTTGTCCCGGATCCCTCCAGGTTTGTCCCGGGCATTCCCAGGTCTGTCCCGGATCCCCCCAGGTCTGTCCCGGGTGTTCCCAGGTTTGTCCCGAGCATTCCCAGGTCTGTCCCGGATCCCCCCAGGTTTGTCCCGGGTGTTCCCAGGTTTGTCCCGAGCATTCCCAGGTCTGTCCCGGTTCCCCCCAGGTCTGTCCCAGGTCCCCCCAGGTTTGTCCCGGGTGTTCCCAGGTTTGTCCCGAGCATTCCCAGGTCTGTCCCAGGTCCCCCCGGGTCTGTCCCGGGCGTTCCCAGGCCAGCGCGATGCGCAGGCAGCGCTGGGAGCGGCGTTCGTGCCTGGCCGTGGGCAGCGCAGCACCCGGGATTTACATAATCCCTGGATATGTAACCCGCCGCCTTCCTGGGGATTTTTTTCCTCCTCTAAATGAAAAAAAAAAAAAAAAAAAAGAAAAAGAAAAAAAAAAAAGAAGAAATTAAACAAAAAATCCAAAATCTAAACCGAAACCTCCGAAGCGCCAGCTCACGGTTGGAGCTCCCGGCTCTGGTTCCTCCTCCTCCTCCTCCCGTGGGATTGGGAACGGGGATTTGGGGCTGTGGCTTGTGGGGGGGATTTGGGGGTGAGGTGGGAGCTTTTCCCTGCGTGGGACAGTGGGGACACGTTTGGGGACACATCTGGGGACATGTCTGGGGACACATCTGGGGACACATCTGGGGACACGTCTGGGGACACATCTGGGGACACGTCTGGGGACACCGAGGGCCGGGAGCTGCAGCGCTGGAGCCTCCCCAGGGGAACCGAGCGGGGTTTGGGGGTGATGGGGACCCCATAGCCCTGACCACGGCGAGGGGGACATTGGGGACAGCGTGACAGGGCCACCACAGCCCCGGACACCCCGCGGGGGCTCTTGGGGTCAGGGCAGCGCCCCAGGGCCGCAGCGCTGCGGGGACGGCGCCTCTGGCAGGGAATGCGCGGATGCCGCGGGATTTTGGGACACTGGGAGGGCTTGGCTGGCCCCACCTCGGTGTCCCCACAAGGGACATCGGGGCAGGGCCGGTGCCCTCCCAGTCTGCAGGGCTGGGAGCTCACTGGTCCCAGTAGGAGCAGCGGGATCCCGCGGGCGTTTTGGGGAATGCTCTGAAAACCGGGGAAAAAATTCCTTTTCCTGCCCTAAATTCTCTCTCAGCAGGAAAAAAAGGGGGATTTGGGGTAAGACGACATCACCTGGTGCCACCCCGTGCCCAGCTGTCCCCCAAAAATGGGGTTTAAATCCACATTTCCCAGGGTGGAAAAAGCCCAGAGGCTGCTCCCCAAAACCCTCCAGGAACCGGGGAAAAAGCGGAGTTTGGAGCTTTAAATTCAGAACTTTTATTAATGAACATTTCCTGCCCGGCTTTGGGTCCCTGGGGAAGGAGCAAAGGATACTCAGGGACACCCGAGGGGGGTTCCCATCAACCGGGGGGGGATTTTCCTTAGGAAAAAAGAAAAATTATAGACCAAAAAAACCAGACCGAAACCAGTTTGGTTTGGAACAACTTTATACAAACGAACCTTATGTACACTCCCTTTTTTTCCCCCCAAAACACCCCTATTTATAGAAGGCAACATAAATTAATCCCCGGGACTGTACAACACTATGAACACTCCTTAAAACGGCACTTTCTGCTTAAAAAAATAGCGTTATTCTCTTAAAAAATAGGAAAGAGCTCGGTTATTTTTTTTTTCCTTTAAAATAAGTCGTCGATTTCCTTAAAAAAGAGGCATTTTCGCCGTTCCTTTACCCGCAGCTGGAGGCACAGCCAGAAAACGGAGATGAACACGAGTTTTTTCTCTTCAAACAATAACTTAAAAACCATTCCTGAACTGCTTAAATATTAAAATATTTCCCTCCGCACACCCCCCCACCCCACCCCCCACCCACCCGATTTTTTAATTTTCATTTTAAATCACCACCTTCTGGTCTGAGCTTCGTCCCGGGTGATTCCGGCTGGGGTGAGGGGTCCGTGAGCCCCAAAACCGCCCCCGATGGCGGAGCCAGGGCCAAGCGCCTCCCCCTCCGCTGGCGACAGACACGCCCCTGTCGCTCTGTCGCGACAGCGCTGACACAGCTCCGCAGCTCGGCGGGGTCACCCCGACAAGCAAAGCTCCGGCGAGGGGTCGGGGTGAGGATCTCCAGGCTCGAGGGGGTGAGGTGGGGAGGTGACGGGAAAAATTCCGAAATTAAAAAGCTCAGAAGGATTTTCCAGCTTTTCCCCGCGCCGGGTTTGCAGCCTTCGCAGTCCTCTGGGTCCTGAGATGAGCGGGGCGAGGAGCGAGGATTTTCTAGGGGTGCTTTCCTTTGGTTTGTTGCTTTTTTTTTTTTTTTAGGAAAAATCAGGAGACAAAAACCAAACCACGGGGCGGGGAAAGGGGGGAGGTGGGGGGTGAGCAAAAAAAAAAAAAAAAAAGGAGGCCGAGGAGTTTTTTTTTGCATTTTTGCAGCGTCTCTGAGCCCTCGGTGCCCGCGGTCAGTACACGGCGCCCGTGCTGGGGGGCCCGGGGGACGGGTGGTGCATCGGGGGCGCCGCCTGGGCCTGGGGGGGTCCGTGGGGGCCGCTGAGGCTCTGGGGGTGGTACCAGGGGTTGTGCTCCTCCAGAAAGCCGGGAGAGGAGCTGTAGGGCAGCGGCTGCGGCAGCGGGGTCCGGGCGGCGCCGGGACTGTCCCACACCGGCGAGGGGGGAGAGTTGCAGGCCATGGAGTCGCTGTTGTTGGGGCTGTGCTCCAGAGGCACCTCGCCGTTCTTGTAGAGCTTCTTGAACTTGGAGCGCCGGTTCTGGAACCAGATCTTCACCTGGGGGGGGAAGGAGGGAAAAGGGTCAGAGGGATGGGAAGGGAGCAGGAGGGTGGGATGGGGTCAGGGAAAAGGGTCAGAGGGATGGGAAGGGAGCGGGAAGGTGGGATGGGGACAGGGAAAAAGGTCAGAGAGATGGGAAAGGAATGGGAGGGATGGGAACAGGGAAAAGCCCCAGGAAGGGAATGGGACCGTGGGATGGGGACAGGGAAAAGGGTCAGAGAAATGAGAAGGGAATGGGAGGGTGGGATGGGGTCAGAGAGCTGGGAAGGGAGCAGGAGGGTGGGATGGGGACAGGGAAAAGGGTGAGAGAAATGAAAAGGGAGCAGGAGGGTGGGAAAAAGGGTCAGAGAGATGGGAAGGGAGAGGGAAGGTGGGATGGGGACAGAGAAAAGGGTCAGAGAAATGGGAAAGGAATGGGAGGGATGGGGACAGGGAAAAGCCCCAGGAAAGGAACAGGACAGTGGGATGGGGACAGGGAAAAGAGTCAGAGAGATGGGAAGGGAATGGGAGGGTGGGATGGGGACAGGGAAAAGGGTGAGAGAAATGGGAAGGGAATGGGAGGAATGGGGACAGGGAAAAGAGTGAGAGAAATGAAAAGGGAGCAGGAGGGTGGGATGGGGACAGAGGGATGGGAAAGGAGCAGGAAGGTGGGATGGGGACAGGGAAAAGCCCCAGGAAGGGAACAGGAGAGTGGGATGGGGACAGGGAAAAGGGTCAGGACCTGGCACAGGAGTGGGAGGAATAGGGGAGAGGGGAGGGGACAGGCATGGCACGGTTTGGATCATAGGGACACTGGACAGGGGGTGATGGACAGCCCAGAAATACAGGAAGGGGTATTGGGGTCACAGGGGATTCACAGGGGCGCTGGAACCAGCCTGGGACATGGGGGTCACAGTGAGCCCAGAGACACGGGAAGGGACAAGGGACATGGGGGTCACAGTGACCCCAGAGACACGGGAAGGGACAAGGGACATGGGGATCAGGGTGATCCCAAAGGCACGGGAAGGGACATGGAGGTCACAGTGACCCCAGAGACACGGGAAAGAACAAGGGACATGGGGGTCACAGTGACCCCAGAGACACGGGAAGGGACAAGGGACATGGAGGTCACAGTGACCCCAGAGACACGGGAAGGGACAAGGGACATGGGGGTCAGGGTGATCCCAAAGGCACGGGAAGGGACATGGAGGTCACAGTGACCCCGGACACGCTCTGGCACGTTGGGAGGGACAAGGGACACAGGTGGCACATGAGGCGCCACGGGAAGGGACATCATGGGGACCCCACACAGTGCATGGCAGGAAACTCCTGGGGACAGGGGTGTCGTGGGACACAGGGGATGTCACCCTTGGTGTGAGTGTCACGGAGAACATGGACACGCCACGGACATGGACACGCCATGGACATGGGCACGCCATGGACATCCATGGACATCCATGGACAGGGACAGGGACATTCCATGCACAGGGACACACCACGGACACACCATGGACATCCATGGACAGGGACAGGGACATTCCATGGACAGGGACACACCACGGACACACCATGGACATCCATGGACAGGGACACGGACATTCCATGGACAGGGACACTCCCTGGACACACCATGGACATGGACACATCATGGACATCCATGGACAGGGACAGGGACATTCCATGGACATCCATGGACAGGGACAGGGACATTCCATGCACAGGGACACCCCGTGCTCTGGGGACGGCAGCCACGTGCCAGCGGGTGTCACGGAGCCCCCTCTGGGGACACGGGCGTCACGAGGAGCCCGTCACGCCACTCGCCGGGCGTCGGGAGCGTCCCCGCGCTGGGCGAGGCGGCGCTGGACGCCCTGGGCGAGGGGCGGGGGTGGCGCTGCTTGTCACCCAAACAGGATGTCCCTCTGGGAGCGGGTGACGCGCTCCGTCAGCCCTTTGCCGAGTGTCCCCGATTGCTTCATCGCCCAAGGGAGGAGGAGGAAGGCCAAGGGCGGCACAAGGGCGCCGGCGCCGGCCCCGAGGCAGGGAGGGCACCGCGATGGGGCGCGGGGGAGTCACGGGCTGCGGGGACAGCGGGGACAGCGGGGACAGCGCGCTCCCCTCCCTCCCGAGAGCCAAGGGCACGGTTTGTCCCCGGCCAGGCAGGACCCCGAAAGCCCCAAGAGGGTTTGGCCCCGAACGCGGGCGGCTCGCGGGAGGAGGAGGAGGAGAAGCCCTTCCCGCACGTCCCGGCTCTTCCAGTCCAGCCTGCAGGGCCACCCCAGCGCTGGGGACACGGGCGTGGAACCGGTCCCCAAATCCCTTCTCCCTGCACGAACCGAGCGGGATGGGGCAGCCAGGGCCAGGGGGAACCTTGGGAAGTCTGGGCGGTCAGGGAGCCTCAGGTCCCTGTTCTGGCAGGGTTTGGGGTCAGGAGCTGCTGCGGGGATGGGATGTCCCGAGAACGCCGTCCCGAGCAGGACTCGGTGCCCCACATTCCTGGGACAGCGGGCGTGCCCTGACCCGGGACTGGCCCGGGTGCTGGGGCAGGACCCAGCCCCAAACCTCAAACCCAACAGGGAGGTCTGGGATGGGGCCGGCTCCAGAGGGAGCGGGAAAAACCCCAAAACTGCCGAGTAGGGCACGCCTGGGGTCCCCTCTCCCTGCTGCCTCTCCACCTTTCCCTAAATCCCACCGGGGGACCCCACAACCCCCGGCAAGGGGGGAGCTCCATCCCTGTGACCCGCCGGGAGCCGAGCCCGCCCCAAACCCAGGAATTGCGGGGGGGAGATTTGGGGTGTCGGGGAGGGATTTGGGGTGTCGGGGAGGGATTTGGGGTGTCGGGGGTGCGGGGTTCAGCCTCACCTGGGTCTGGGTGAGCCCCAGCTGCGCGGCCAGCTCGGCGCGCTCGGGCAGTGCCAGGTACTGCGCCTTCTGGAAGCGGCGCTGCAGGGCGGCCAGCTGGTAGCTGGAGTAGATGGTGCGGGGCTTGCGGATCTTCTTGGGCTTCCCGTTGACCATCCGCACCTCGGGCTCCGGCTCCTCCTTCACGGACACTGCGGGAGGGCGCGGGGTGAGGCGCGAAGGGCTCCCGGGGCAGCCACCCCGTCCCCAGCTCGGTGTCCCCCCGTCCCCAGCTCGGTGTCCCCTCGCCCGGGGTGTTGGCAGCGCCCCGTCCCCTGCCACCACCTCTGGGACACCCCTGGGACGTGTCCCGGACTCTGCATCCAGCACGGATCGGTCCCGCTGTGTCCCCACGCGAGCGGCTGAGCCCCGAGAGCCGCCAGCAGCGCCCTGTCCCCAACGCGGGGACACCCCGAGGGGCACAACCCCACAAGAACCGGGCGGTTAAAACGCACAAAAACCGGGGTGTTAAAACCCCACAAACTGGGGACACTCCGAGGGGTAAAACCCCGCAAAGCTCGAGGGTTAAAACCCCACAAAGCCCAGGATAAAACCCCACGAAGCCCGGGGTTTAAACCCCCCAAAGCCCGGGGTGTAAAACCCCACAGAGATCGGGGTGTAAAGCCCCACAGAGCCCAGGGTGTACAACACCACAAAGTTCAGGGGGTTAAAACCCCACAAAGATCGGGGGGTTAAAACCCCACAGAGACAGGGGTGTAAACCCCACAAAGCTCAGGGTAAAACCCCACAAAGCCCGGGGTGTAAACCCCACAAAGCTCAGGGTAGGACCCCACAAAGCCCGGGGTTAAAACCCCACAAAGCCCGGAGTGTAAAACCCCACAAAGCTCAGGGTAGAACTGCACAGAGCCCGGGGTGTAAAACCCCACAAAGTTCGGAGTAGAACCCCACAAAGCTCAGGGTAGAACCCCACAGAACCCGGGGTGTAAAACCCCACAAAGCTCAGGGTAGAACCCCACAAAACCCAGGATTAAAACCCCACCGAGGCCCCTCCGGAGCCCCTCGGGAGCAGCGCGGCGGGCACGGCCCCGGTCCCCCGGTGCCCCCGGTGTGTCCGTACCTGCCTCCTGCGCCGGGAGCTGCTGCTCCCTGAAGTGCCCGTACTGGCGGTACGAGGGGCTGTAGGAATACTCGGATTTGGGCGAGTAGGTGCCGGCGGCTCCGATGCCGTTGAGGTTGAACTGGGGGTAGGGGTAGTGGCCCACGGGCTGCCCGTACGACTGGCCCGGGTAGTAGTCGTGCTGGCCCGTGTAGTAGCCCAGGTCTGTGACCGAGGACTCCGGCAGGGTGGGAGAGTCCTTGGAGGCTGCATGGCAGCTCAGCGAGCCCGAGAGGTCCGTCAGGATGCTGGAGAGCTTCTTATCGAAAGAGCCGCTCATGGCGGGCAGCGGGGAGGGGGCGGCTGCCGGCCCGCGCCGGGGACCCCCCAACCTGGCGGCCTGGAGCGCCCCGAGCGGGATCCGCGCTGCGGCTGCGGCTGCTGCTGCTGCTGCTGCTGCTTCGAGAGGAGCCACCAAGAGACTGTGCCCAAACCTCCGGCCCCGGCCGCCTGCTTAAAGCCTTTAATTAGGGAGCAGGGCAGGGTGGGTGCGCATTCCGATTGGCTCCAGAAATATTGCCTGGGAGGCAAAATAGGCTCCTGCCTCCTCCTGTGTGGGTTTTTTTTTTTTTTTTCTCTCTCCCTTCTTCTTTTTTTTTTTTTTTCTTTCTGTCTCTCAAGAAACAACAAAGAGTGGGTGAAGGAGGGTGAGGGAATAAATAAAGTGTGCAGGGTCCTGTCCTCAGGAGGGGGGTCCTGGGGGCACAGGGGACACTGTGGGAGACAGGATGGGGCTGTTTACAAGGGGACTTTGGGGCTGTGGGGGGATTTTTTGGAGGAGTGTTTGGGGGTGTTTGTTGTGGGGCAGGGAAGGGGGTTGGGGTTTGGGACTAGGATGGATCTGTGCTTATGGCTGGGGGCTTTAGGGGTTTGTTTGTGGTCCCCCCCATTTCTCCCCTGCTCCCACCTTCTCCCAGCAGCGTCCCCCAGTCCAACAGCACCCCCAGGCAGAGCCCCCGCGAGGATCCTCCTGTACCCCCAACCCTGCCACGCTTCCCCCGCGCTGGGGGCACCTCGGGGCAGTGACAAGCGCTGATTTTGGGGGGACACCCCCGGGGGTCTGTGCCCCTGTCCCACCCCCACTCAGAGCCGTGACCCCTCTGCTGCCCCAAGGGCCCTCAGCAGCGTGACCCAGCCGGGGGTCCCGGGCCAGCCCTGGTCCCCCCCCTGGCCACCCGCAGGGCTGTCCGGGGGGCACCGGGAGAGGGGGGGGGGCTTTGCAAGTGAGGTTTTTGTTTTTGGGGAGGGGTCTCTGCTTCTGCGGGCAGGAACTTCCCCTGACAGGAACCGGGGGGCTGGGGGGGGGGGGTGCTGGGTCCGTGACCCGGGCAGGGCTGTCCCCTCCTGCCCCCCGTGTGTCCCCTCCTGTCCCCGTGTGTGGCGTCCCCGTCCCCCCCCCGCCATTGTCCCCGCGGTGCCCCCCCGGGTCCCCCCGGGCCGTCCCGCCGCGCGGGGCAACGGCTCCGCCTGGCGGCCACGGCGGGAACTGCGCCGCGCCCCGGGGACCGCGGGTTCGAGTCCCGGCACCTCCGGAACCTCCCGGGCCGCAGGTTCGAGTCCCGGCACCTCTGGGCCGAGGGTTCGAGTCCCGGTGCCGACGGGGACCGCAGGGGAAGAGGGAGAAAAATGGGGAATGGAAAAGGAGCAGGAATGGGAAGAGGGGAATGGGAATAGGAATGGGAACGGGAATGAGAACGGGAACAGGAATGGGAACAGGAATAAGAATAGTAATAGGATAGGTATACAAATAGGAATAAATAAGAATACATAGGAATAGGAATAAGACTAGGGGCACGGATAAATAGAAATAGGAATGCATAAGAAGAGGAAAAGGAATGCATAGGAAGAACAGGAATATGAGTAGGGATAGGATTAGATGAAGGAATAGGAATAAGAGTGAGAACAGGAAAAGGATAGAAATAGAAATAATAGAAAGAGAAAGGAATGGAAATAATAGAAACAGATCGGCAGAAATAAAGAGAGCAGGGATGAATACCCAAGGGGACCGGGAGGCCAAGGGTGACCCCGGAGCCGGGGGAACAGCACGGCCTCACTCCCCACGTGGGAATTGTGGCTGGGGATTCCAGGAATTCATTGCGAGGGGACAGAAGTGTCTGGGAGCAGCCCAGCCCAGCCCTGGGAGCTGCGCCGGGATTCCCTGGGAGGTTCCCAGGGTCCCCAGGAGCCGCTGGGCCATCCGCAGGTCCCCAGCCTGGCTGTCGCCCTCCAGCCGGGCTGTCGCCAGGGCTGGGCCCCGCCGGGAGCGGCATCCGCGGCAGGAAAAGCCGGTTGTGGAGCTGGAGGCCGGGGAGGGCAGCGGGGGAGCCGGGCTGGAGGGGGAGCGGGTCCGGCCAGTCCCCGACCAGTCTGGGACTGGGAGCTCTGGAGCTGCCGGGGGCTGCCGGGCCGGGCTGGCTCCTGAGGAACCCCAAATGTGGGAGCTGCGGGGTGGGGAGGGGAACTGGGGAGCTGGGGCACTGGGGGGGGCAGGAATCGCTGTTCTGGGGGTCTCTGGGGGGGCCCCACGGGCAGGGCTGGGCACAGGGTCCGGCCAGGACCCCCCGAATGCCCCTCACAGGGCTGGGGTGCCCCCCACGCCTCCCCTGTGACCCCCCCAAGGCTGAAGGGTTTCCTTCGGGGGGGGGGAGGTCCCGGAGCAGGGCAGGGTCCCCAGGAGTCCCCGCGTGTCCCCCGGCCCTGTCACAGCCGCGGGGGTTGGGCTTGGGGGGTCCCCGATCGCCCCCAAACACCCCCCCCCTTCCCCAGCCCCACCGAGCATCTTTGGGTCAATGGCGTCACCTCGTGGCCTTTGGGGGCAATGACAGCGTGCCATGACGTCATCGGTGTCACCAGGGGCGCGAGGGGCGGGGCCGGGGCAGGGGGTGGGGACGCGGGGCTGGGGACACGGGGTGGGGACACGGGATGGTGACAGGGGATGGTGACAGGGGATGGGGACACGGGACAAGACATGGGGACAGGGGATGGGCACAGGGAGGTCCCTGTGCCAGGGCCGGCCGCCACTGCCAGCAGCGCTGCCCGCGGTGTCCCTGCTGCCGTCACTCTTTCCAGGGCCGGTGACACGGCTCAGGGGCGCGGGGACACGGGGCGGGGGACACAGGACATCCTGCAGCCCCCCCAGGCCGGATTTCCCGGCACGGTGGGAGCGGCGCGGCGGCTCCCGGTGACCTTTGGCGGGGTCGGGACGGTGACAGCCACGGCCGCCACCCCCGGCGGGGAAGCGGCGATGCTGCCATGTCCCCACGGCCACCGAGGCGTCCCCTCCCTGTCCCGGTGCCGCACTCGCGGTCCCGGTGTGACCTCCTGCCATGGGGGGAGGGGGGGGTTTTATCCCATAAATGTCCTAACTTGGAGGTCCCCTCTCTCCTGGGGGTGTCCCATCCCATAAATGTCCTAACCTGGGGGTCCCCTCTCTCCTGGGGGGCTCCCATCCCAAAGCGGGACCAGGTAGGGGTGGGTCCTACCCCGGGGGGATTCGGGCGGGACGAAGCGGGGGAATTATCCCGCGGGGGGATGTAGGAGGGGTCAGTGGGGTGGGGGGCACACGGAGGGTGTGGCAGGGGGCGTGGCCCGGCAGGGGGCGTGGTCTGGGGGTCGCGGTCCTCCCCCGAGGGGGTGGGGGGGGTGCCACAGCTGCCCCAGGTGCGCCCTCCCTGCACACCTGCGCTCTCAGGTACCCGCGGTGCGCAGAGGGGTGCGCGGCCCCTTTAAGGGGCGTGTCCGGAAGCGGCGCGGCCCCGCCCCGCCCCGCCCCTGCCCCGCGCCCTCCCCGCGCACCGGTCCCGGTGGGGCGCAGGGCGGGTACGGCGGCCGGTGCGGGACATGGCCCTGCCGGGGCTGCTGCTCGGGCTCGGCCCGGTGCTGCTCGGCGCCGCCGCCGCCTTCAACCTGGACCGCACCTTCCCGGTGCTCAAGGAGGGCCCCGGCGGAGCCCTGTTCGGCTTCTCGGTAGCGCTGCACCGGGAGACGGAGCGGCGGGAACGGAGCCTGTGAGCGCGGCCGGGGGGCGGGGGGCGAGCCCCGAGCGCTGCGGGACAGCGGGGACAGATTCACCTGAACGGGGGGGTTTGGGGTGGGACGGGGAAGGACGGGAAGGGGTCTCCCGTGGGGGTGCGGGTCTCCCCGGGAGGATCGGGGGGCGTCTCTGGTGGTTGGGACCCCCCCCGTGAGGCGGAGGAGAGTGAGACAGCGCTTTACCTGTGGGCGGGGGCGTCCCTGTGAAAGTGAGGGGTCCCCCGTGGGGGGCGGAGGAGCTGGGAGAGGTCCCCGTTAGGGTCGGGGTCCCCCGTGGGGTGCGGGTCCCCTGGGCAGAGCGGGGAGGGTCCCCCGGGGGGATGAGGAGCCCCCCTTGGGATGGGGGTCCCACGTGGGGTGGGGTCCCTGTGGCACGGAGGGACCCCCGCGGGTGTTGGGGGTCCCCCAGGTGGGGAGGGGTCCATGTGGGGGGGGTTCCTGTTCTGTGTCAGGGGCGCACCTGGAGGGGGGCGGGGGGGGGCCCGGAGAGGCGCACCCGGGGCTCCGGGTATGGGGAGGTGGGCGCGGGGGGTCCCAGAGCCCAGCTGAGGGAGGGGGGGGTCCCCGCTCGTGGCGTTTCCGCCCCCGCTATTGGCGGGGGTCCCATCGCTGGGGGTCCCACCCCGAGCCCCCTCCTCATTCCCCGCAGCGGGGTCCCGGTGACACCGGGAGGGGTCTGGCAGCAGCGTGGGGACAGCCCCGTGTCCCCCCAGGTGTGCTCGGAGCCCCTCCGGGAGGGGAATCCCTCCCCAGCCGAGCGGTCCCGGCCGGCGCCTGCCCTCAGCGGAGCCCCCGGTGCCCCCCGAGCCGCCGCCGGGGCCCCGTGCCCGGGAACCTGTTGGGCTGTGGTTCCTGCTGGCAAAGCCCCAACAAAAGCCCTTTTCAGCCGGAGCAGCCCCCGTGCCGTGCCACCGCTGTGTCCCCCCAGTGCCCGTTCCCGCTCCGTTCCCGGTCCCTCCCGGGCGGGAATTCCCGTCCGTGCCGGGAGCGGGCTCCGCCGCAGGGGCCGGGCTGGCTGTGTCCCGCTCAAGGGCACGGTTTTCTGCTGGATCACCTTCCCGCGGCTCTCCCGGCTGCCGGGGGGTTCCTTGGAGCCCCCCGGGGATCCCTTGGAGCCCCTCGGGGTTCCCGGTTTTCCCGGGAGGGGCTGGCAGCAGCTGCCGGTGCAGGCATGTGCCGCTCCGCATTCCAGGGATGCATTTGGGGCCGTGGGATGAGGAGCTGCGGCCGCTCCCGTGCAGGAGGAGC